GCTGAGTGCTGATCCCGATGCAGATCGACCTCACAAGTCTGAGATCAGGGCCTGAGCTGAAGCGCACCCCCACTATATGGTCTTTTGTGTCTGGCTTCTTTCACTCAGCATAGTTTTCAAGTTTCCTTCATGTTGTAGTGTGTCTCGATGTTTTGTTCCTTTTTTTGGCGGGATATTATTCCATTGTCTCAGAAGGATTTTGAGCAGAGAAAGGACAGAGTCGGGTGTGTGCTTTGTGCTGAGCTGCCATGCAGAGGGTGGATTATGGGGGGGGGTGATATGAGTTGGGTTGTGTCCCCCAAAAAGATATACTGAAGTCCTACTTCCAGGACCTATGAATGTGACCTTATTTGATGATAGGATCTTGGCAGATGAGCCAGTTAAAATGAGGTCATAGGGTGGAAGAAATTAAAAAACCAAGCATTGACTTGGGGGAAATATTCACTACACACACGACAAATTTATATATATATGTATATATATACCCACACATATATATAAAGGACTATATATTATATAAATATATAAACTATATATATATTTTTAAAGATTTTATTTATTTGACAGAGAGAGACACAGCAAGAGAGGGAACACAAGCAGGGGGAGTGGGAGAGGGAGAAGCAGGCTTCCCGCCAAGCAGGGAACCAGATGCGGGGCTCGATCCCAGGACCCTGGGATCACGACCTGAGCCGAAGGCAGACGCTTAACCATCTGAGCCACCCAGGCGCCCCTAAACCGTATATATTTACTTATTTTTAAAGATTTTATTTATTTATTCATGAGAGACAGAGAGAGAAGCAGAGGGAGAAGCAGGCTCCCAAGGAGCAGGGAGCCCAATGCGGAACTCGATCCCAGGACCCTGGGATCATGACCTGAGCCAAAGGCAGACGCCCAACCATCTGAGCCACCCAGGCACCCTATATTTTTTATTTTTATTTATTTTTATTTTTTTAAGATTTTATTTATTTGCGAGAGAGAGAATGAGAGATAGCACGAGAGGGAAGAGGGTCAGAGGGAGAAGCAGACTCCCTGCTGAGCAGGGAGCCCAATGTGGGACTCGATCCCGGGACTCCAGGATCATGACCTGAGCCGAAGGCAGTCGCTTAACCAACTGAGCCACCCAGGCGCCCCCTATATTTTTTTTAAAAATTTATTAATAAACTCTACACCCAACCTGGGGCTCGAACTCCTGACCCCAAGATCAAGAACTACATGCTGTACCAACTGAGCCAGCAGGCTCCCTGTAAACGATATATGTAATATAAAGAACTCTTTCAAATCAGGAAGACAACTCCTTTGTAAGAGTCAAAATAAATTAAGAAAAATAGATAAACAGGGGCGCCTGGGTGGCTCAGCCGTTAAGCATCTGCCTTTGGCTCAGGTCGTGATCCCAGGGTCCTGGGATCGAGCCCCGCTTCGGGCTCCCTGCTTGGCCCTGGTGGCCATATCTGCGCGTTAAGAGTTTTCTTCCTTCTGGCAGTTTCCTTCAGACTCATGGCCTAGCATGGTTTTATTGGGTCTGAACCCAGGGGATGCTTGAGTCTTTTTGGCAGATATTGGAGAGCTTCCATTTTTAGCACCTCCCTACCTGTGTGCACGTGCACACACACAAATAAAAAGAACTCTGTTTCTTGCCAGTGGGACATTAATTTATGTTTTAACATGAAAAAGAGGGGGAAAGCAGGAACAGTCCTGATAAGCTGTAATGTTCTTAGGAGACTTGCCTGGACAGTGGGTGGGAGAAGCTCTGAGGTTAGTTTCTCCCATAAACCATTTATTTCTCTATTTTTAATGCCTTTTGTCAGGGAAGGCATTTTCAGAGGTCATAACAGGAGAGAAATTTGACTACCAAAAAACTTAAAAATGTTGAGTAAAGTCACCGTAAAGCCAAAAGACGAGCAGCAAACTGAAATGTTAGTAACATCTATGATGCTTAAGATCCAGAATATATAAAGAGCTACTACAGACCAATAACAAAATGACAGAGAGTCTAGGATTTGAGCCAACAGAAGAGGAACTACAAATGGCCCAGGATATGCAAAGATGCTTGGGCTTACTGGCAATCAGGGAAAATAAAAATAATATAAGTCACTGCAGCCTGTACGGAAGGACAGGTAGGCTAATCTATCAAATGACCTACTAAAATGTACCCTCCTTTGGACCAGTGATTCTACCTCCAGAGATGTATCCTACGGATACATCTCTGGAAATGATCCACGTGTAAGTATATTCATGCCAGCTTTATTTGTAGGAGCAAAAGATTTGAAACTGCTTAAGTGTCTCTCCAAATGGGCCTGGTTAAATAAATGTTCGGCCCATCCATGTAATGGGCCACTATACAGCCAGGCAAAACGAGGAGCCAGCTCTGTGTCAATACAAAAAGATCTCCCAGAACAGTGCCTGGCACACAGTAGGCACTACTGTTTGCTACTATACCAAAATTGCATGCAATTTCCCTTGTAAGTTGGACAGAAATGCAGGTGGTTAAAAAGGAGGGGAAACTTGCAGTCTGTGCCAAAGACTCGTCAGAAATGCTCTGTGGGTGTGTGCATGTAAGTGTAATGTGTTACTTTTTTTTTTCCACGGATGTTATATTAGTTTTGGGTATACAATGTAGTGATTCCACCATTCTGTACATCACCCAGTGCTCATCAGGACAAGTGTGCTCCTTCATCCCCATCACCCATATACAAAGGAATATTACTCAGCCATAAAAAGGAATGAAATCTTGCCATTTGCAAGGGCATGTTTGGAGCTAGAGGAGATAATGCTTAGTGAAATTAGCCGGTCAGAGAAAGACAAATACCATATGACCTCACTCATGTGTGGACTTTAAGAAACAAAATAAATGAGCAAAGGCAGAAAGAGAGGAACCAAGAAACAGATTCTTCTAGAGAACACACTGATGGTTGCAGGGGGGGTGGTTGGTGAAACGGGATGGGGATGAAGGAGGCACTCACAGATGCTCTAACCTTTTGACCAACTAATTGCACTCTTGGGAACTTGCCCTAAGGAACGGCCCAGAAGTTTGGGGAGAGGCATCATGCAAAGGCGGGGGTGGGTGGGGTGGCGGACCAGACCAGAATGGAAGGAAGCTGGTCATGGCCCCGGGCAGGCCCCGAGGAGACAGGCGCGCGGGTAGGAGACAGGCACACGGGTAGTAACCGGGCCGTGTTCATGTGCAGATGCTTTTTGGACAGCAGCAAACAGGACCCGCCGCCGTCCGTGCGGCGCTCATCAAACACACCGGCGCCGAGTCTCGTGGGTGCGGGGAATTCCGCGGGATTCTTTTCCCTTCTTACTATTTCCAGCTTCTCCGATTTTCCATAATGGAGAAAGCCTTTTTAAAAACGGGAATTCAGAAGCGGACGGAGACCCCTCGATGCATACAAAGGTGTCCGCTGTCGCGCTACTTGAAATTAAGAACAGAGACCGAAGCTCCAAAGACACAAGAGCAGGACGCGGGTATTTACAAGTGGGGCGTCTCCACTTGGGCCATTTCACCGCCATTTGTAAAGAGTCCGCTTTCGGACGAATGTGTAGTGAGCTGGGGAAACCCTTAGGATCTGTCTCGGAGAACTGTTCAACCGGCCAAGGGCGCCACACGACCTTGACCAGTGCGTACAAGTCTGGAAACGCATGCGCAGAGAAAGGCGCTGGCGGCTGCGCCCGGGAAGGCGGATCGCAGTAGATTCTTCCTCCTTCCATCGCGTTTCTGCACCTTCTCGGTTTCCGCCCGCGATGCTCACGGCAGGGGGACCCCGGGTGGGCCCGGCTGACCCCCCTCACCTCTGGCGGCGGAGGCTGGAGACGGCGCCCCCGCAGCCGGACTCTGGCCGCGGAGCAGGTTCCGGCAGGCGGACCCCTCCAGAGACGGGGGGAGGGGGGGGTGCTGCAGCAGACACCCCAGGGTCACGGCCGGGGCCGGGCGTTCTTGCACTCAGCGGTCCCGGCGGCGGCCTCCGAGGGTTCTGTGCTGTCGTCCTGCGGGTCGCTCCCGAGGGCCTGGCCCGGAGCCCGCCGCTCCAGCCTCCCGGGCTGTCGTCAGCCCCCGATCCCCGTATTAACCCCCTTCCTGGTGAAAACCCCTGCCGTGGCTTCTATTTAGGCTCTGATCCCTGCCCCCACACAACCATGCATTGCTCTCAGACTCGGGGAAAAAATATGAGGGCTTTCCAAGATTTCCGTTTGAAAGTAGACAGTGGGGCTGTGTTCATTGGTCAGAGAGAGAAACGGTAAAGCAGAGAGGTCCAGGGGTTTACCGGAGGCCCCAGGATGTTGAAATTTTTCTGATGTGCTTTGTTTTTAATATGGTGAATCCCACTGACTGGTCTTCAAACGTTAAACCAACGCGGTTCCTAGAACAAACCCCACTTGGCCATGATGGGACTTACTGCCCTTTTTACTGACCGGGGAATAGGCCTGGCTAAACTTTTGGTGAGGGCTTTGCGTCTGTGTTCGTACTGAACACTGTAGTGGGCTCTTCGTCTGGGCCTTAGTGCAATGCTGACGTCATAGTTCTTTCTCTTCTGGAGCCAGCTTCGGGAACCTGCATCTTTCGCTCTTCTCTTTCAATGGAGCCGTGGGATTTGCCAGCATCCAGGGTTCACGGGGTTTCCCTGCAGTTATGTGTGCGGCAGGGTCGGGCTGGGGGTCAGAGGGCACAAGTGAGAACTGCCAAGGACCCGGCAGCAGGAACGGCCCCCGGGGACCGTGTCAGATGGGGGCCCCCACCGACAGGGCCCCCCCCACCCCCCAGTTCTCGAAGCGACTCATGCGGAGGGACAACGCAGGTCTCCCTAGTCTGAGGAAAAGCAGGGCCCGCGAGGACAGACTCGGGAGAGAGCAGCGGAGGGGAGAGCGGGGGAGAAGGGTCCTCTGCCTGGGATCTGAAGTCCCTGCTGGGCCCCCCCCACCTGCCCCGCAGTGCCCCGGATGACACTGGGCAGCAAGCAGGACGGGAGGGCCAGCGTGGGGCGGCGGCAGGCTCCGAGGGCAGAGTCCGCGTAAGGGACTTTATTCACATACTCATACTCCCTCCTTGCCGAGCTGGGCCCAGGCTGCAGGTTCGGGCGGGAGTCCTGGGCCCGGCCCTGATGCTGGGCAGGGATGACAGGCGGGGGCGACAGGTGGGGTGACACACAGGGCTCCCCGGCCCGGCTCACAGGTGCTGCCTCCGGTGCCGCAGCACCTCCGTGGGCGTGAACAGAAAGTCCTTCTGGCAGGCCTCGCAGTGGTAAGGCCTCTGCAGGCCAGACGCCTTCTGGAGGGGCTCAGGGGTGGCTTCCTCAGCCCCTAGGAGAGAGGAGAAGCAAGGCTGTGGTGGGGGGTGGGGGGGTGGCTCCACCGTGTGTTCCCACCCCCGCCCAAGGCCCCCGGGGGCTCAGGCTTTCTCCCCGCCTCTGGCTTTCCCTCCTCTGGGAAGCCTTCCTGGATTAACACATGCACACAGGCAAGTCTTTACTCTGTATCTGTCACCCCCTGGGACACCCACTGCTGCCTCCTGGACCAGCCCTGGCGGGTGGTGTGTGGTGCATGCCCGCTGTGGCATCCCCTGGGTGACAATGGGGGTGTGTGGCCGAGACAGAGACAGCTGCCAGACAGAGAAAAGGACAGACACAAAGGAATGAGAAAGAGGGGACGTCCTGGGCCCTCCCAGCCCGGCTCCTGGGACAAAGCCTGATGTGGTTCCAACCAGGGCCCGAGGGTTGTCCTCAGTCCCCAGATGTCGAGCGGATGAATGCCCAGACTCGCAGGAAACCACCGCGGGAGGGGCAGGCGGATGCAGGTGCCCTGGCCGCCCCCCACATTCTTACCTGGGGGGCCGTCCTGCGGGGCCTCGGGGCACGTGTTCTCGTGGGCGATGCGCTCCAAGGGGGTCAGGGGCAGGTGCAGGCCACAGTGGGGGCAGGTCCAGAAGGTGCGGAGACAGTCGCTGTACAGGTCCGTGTCGTTCTGGGGCAGGAAGGCTGCATCAGGACGTGGCCCCATCCCAGAACCCCTCGGGGTTGGGAGGCCCCATGCTGAAACCACGTCCTTGCACTAAGTTGGGACGCGGCTGGTGGGGAGGCCCGGACTCCCACAGATCCCATCTTCAGGGGCAGGAAGGGGGGGGCGATGGGCCAAAGTGGGGTCCATGCTTACCGCGAGGCAGTTGTAGGTGAGGAAGTCAGTGACTGCGTAGCCCCCTTTAGTGGGGTGGGGGGAGAGGGGAGAACTGCCAAAGAGGCCGGGGAGACTGGGGGCAGTGGTGATGGTCTGGGGTCCCACATATAGGTTCTGGACTTCCAGCCCTGTGAGCCGCCGGAGGCGGTAGGGAACCTGGGGAAGGAGGGACAGGAAAGGAGGGACCGACTCAGGGAGACATTGTTGGGGCACCTGGATCCAACTGTGCCTGAAATCAGACCCTGGACGGTTCAGTAAGAGGGCCAACTGCTTAAGTCAATCACAACGGTCTCAGACACTGGCTACCAGAGGCTTGTCTAACACATGCCCTGGTGCCCCTTCTCTGCTCCCTGTCACCTGGGGGACCACAACCAGACCTGCCACCTGGCCAGCTTGCCCATCCTCACCTGGCGTGTTAGTCCAATCCCCCTGCCCTGGCTCCCTGGACCCGCCGCTCCAGGAAATCACTCTGGTGCACACCCTTCTCTGCGCCCCATCCGCACGCAGTAGAAGCAGGAGCAATTGCCAACTCCCTGCTGACGAAGCAGGGAACTGATCTTCCCCCGTGCCCTCCATGAACGGAAGGCTACTGACAGCTTCCTTTTCCAGCCTGCACGCCCTTAACTCTTACTGAGGGAAGCTCACACAGCGCATGCAGTGGTGCTCAATAAATGCATGAACTGGTGGGGAGGGGCCCGCAGGGGCTAATGGCTCGGCCTCTGGAGCTGGGCAACCCGAGGTCAAATCCTTGCTCTGCCCCTCCCCTGCTGTGTGACCTTGGGCTTGTCCTTGGCCTGTCCGGTTTGCAGACCGCCACAGGGAGCTGGAGGCCAGGCCTTCTGGACTCGGAATCCCCAGGGCGGGCGGTCCCTCTGGGCCAGGCGCACGCACCTCGGACGCTGCAAACTGTAGCAGGTCCCTGCTCAGGTCTGCTGCCTCCTTGCAGTCCACTGGAGCTGCCGTCGCCTCCTGACCCATCTCTGGCCACCGCCGCTGGGCCTGACGGGCCAGCTGCCGGTCCAGGGCGCTTTCCCAGTGGGCCCGGAGCCGCACGGAAGCTGCCAGAAGGCGGACAGCGCACTCACTCTCCGCAAGCTGGAGCTCCAGCCAGCCGTCAGCCACCAGGCGCGAGCAGTCCCCGTTGGTGTCCAGGGACCGGCTGAAGAGCAGGAGGGACTGGAAGAGAGGGGACACGTCGCCGGTGGGTGTGCGGGGCAGGAGGCCAGCTCAGAGAGACCCCCACCCACCCCTCAGTCCTCCCCCCACTAAACACCTGCGCGCACGCGCGCACACACACACACACACACACACACACCCCCCCAGTGGGGCCAGGCCCCCTTCCAGCCTCAGCTGCAAACGAGGGTCCCTGCCCCCACAGAACGAACTTGGTAACCGGACAGACAGACCAACCAAGGCTAAAGAGTAAACTGTACTAGGTTCTAAGAAGTCAGCGTCACCCTCCCGTGGCGCCACACGGCTGCGCTAACGCGCACAGATGCTGTCAACACCTCCTCGTTCGGCGTCCCTCCCGTCTGTACATGTCACTACCTACGCTTTGCCCTCAAAATGCACAAACAAGAACTGAACGCTAGTTAACGGACGGACGCTGGTGTGTCTGAGGCTGAGGGCCCTGACTCCAGCCCATTTACTTTAAAATGCATCGGGAAATGGAAAAAAGCCCCGGCTATTGTAGCGGACTGATGGGGGCGGACACAGGGACAGATCTGCTCCGCCCACGGTTCTCCTTTTGTGTGTGTGAGAAACGCCCCATCCGACACCAAGCGTGCGGCGGAGGCTCTCCGCTGTGAACCTCTGCTTCCTCGCCGAAGTCCTACCCATCGGCGCCATGTGACCCTGCTCTGCTCCTTTCTAGCACTGCTTGGGGAACCTGGCATTCTCGCCCCTATTTCTTGGTGTTCTTGTCTACTGCCTGCCTCCCCCACGCCTCTGGGAGCCCCAGGGATGCAGGCCGTGTTGGGATTCTGATCACAACCGCATCCCCAGCACCTAGATCAGGAAGCAGCACCCGGTGCCAGGCAGCTGCTCGATCCGTGTTTGAGTTGGGGTTGAAGCGAGGGGGCCTGGTCACGGGGACCCCCAGCTGATGGGCGGAGGAGCCATGAGGTGTGGCGTGGGGCCCCGGAGCTCCAGCTCGGCCCCCTGCTCACTGTGCGGCTCAGACAAGCAACATGCCCCCCTCGCCCCCCTCGCCTCATGGTGGCATGCGGAACTCACGGGGCGGGGCAGCTAATGCCGGCAGGACTCTCCCTTCCTGGCTCCAGACACATACCCCAATCTATCCGCAACCCAAGCGTGTCCTCAGCCTCCACCTGGGGCCAGCCACCACCCTCTCCTCCCCAGATGACTACAGTCGCCTCCTTGCTGGGCTCCTGCTACTGCCCCCCATCAGACCCCATTCCAGCTCTGCTCAAAACCTCCCAGGGGTGGGGGTTCCAGCCTCTCTGACCTCATCTCTCTGACCCCAGCTCCAGCCACTCGTCCCTTCACCACCTCTGGTCCAGCTGTTCCTTGGGCACGGCGGGCATGTGTGTGCCTCAGGGCCTTTGCACTTGCTATTCCAAGACACTCTTCTCCCTACGTATCCTGTGGCTCCTTCCCTCCCTTCTTCCTTTGTTCCACTACACCTTCTCAATGAGGCCCACACCCTGATCACTTCATATTACAGCCTGTTCCATACCCTCACCGCCCCCGCAACCCCCTTACCCTATTCTTTTCATTTTCCCCAAACGTTCCTCATCTGCTAACATATCATGCAGCACTACTTTACTGTCCTTATTACCATCCTCCCCAGCCGGATGTGAGCTCTGGGACAGCAGGAACTGGGTCTGGTCTTGTTCACTGCTGGGCTGTCAGTGCCTGCAACAGTTCCGGGCACACAGCAGGTGCTCAGCAAGTGCTTACTGAATGAAGACACGAATGCAAAGCCAGCAGCCAGCAGGGGGAAGGCAGCTCTTCGGGGCCCACCCCGGCCTCCTGCCCCGGGGACACAGTCATCAAACCTGTGAGTCGGGCTGCGCGGGGCTGGGACACACCTGCAGAGCGGGGATGCGGACGCAGTTCACCAGGTAGGGTTTGTTGGTCTCCAGCAGGGAGACGAAGGTGAGGAGCTGGTGCTTGCTGCTCATCTTGTCCTTGTCATCTGAAACAGTCCACAGGGCAGCTCAGGACACCCTGCCACCCGATCTCCTACCCTCAGCAGCCCCCGCGCTGGTCTGTCCCAAGGGCTGCCGGTCCCCCCAGGGCCATTTACACACGTTAAGAAATACTGCTACTTTCGTTAGGTGTGATAGCGTTCTCATAGTGCAAAAAACCGCGTCATTTTTACACTTCTAAATGATATGACATCTGGGATCTGATCCCAGCAAAAAGGAGAAAAACGTGGGATGACGTAAGACACGGGGTGGCAGGAAGCTGGGTGAGGGTACCAAGGGCTCGTCTCATTCTCTACTTGGACGGGGTCTGGGATTTTTCAAAATGAAAAAATAAAGGGGAAAAACAATGTAACATTGTTTTTCATCAGAGAATGAACTAAGAATCTACAGCAGTTAAAGCAAAGTTTCAAATTCTACCTTTGATGTTTAAAATCGTAAACCTTACCTTTTGGGGTTAATGTTGACATTTTAACATGGTTACTTTGTTTACAAACAAGGAGAGGAGTTGCGTCCCAGAGCTCACACAGAGCTCAGGTGCCTATGCCTTGCGGGGGGGGGCGCCCCGGCCAGGACCCCGCCTGGGACCCCGCCTGGCCTGCTACGGCCTCAGCCAGCTGGTTCCTCCGGCCAAGTGCCTGGACGCTGCCTTCCGTGCCCCAGCGGCCAGGGGAGCCCCCCATCAGCCACCACTGCCACCGCCACAGGGAGGGCGGGGCTCAGTGTCGGAGTGACTCCCTGAGAGGTCTGGCTTTTGGGACCCCAAAGCCCCCACACCTGCTGCTCCCTTGTCAGCAGCCCCAGCAGAGGCAGAGTGTGAGTGGGAGCCAGGGGGTAACCCCAGATGTTGAGGGACACCCTGAGATCACTGTCCCCCTGCCCCTCACTTCCCAAGGGGTTTTTCTCTCCCCGCCTGCACTCACGGTACCTCGGCTTGCTTCGCCGCCCCTGGCCTCCCGCTCCTGCGTGTGCAGTACCTCAGGGCTGTTGGCAAAGATGCAGGTGGGGTGCAGCACGGTGCCCTGCTGGGACTGCGTGTGGAAAATCTGCAGAGGCCAAAAGTAGGCGCCAGGTGACAGAGGCCCTTAGCCCTACTCTTCCACTGCCCAGAACTCTTTTCCTCCACTCTCTCAGCCAGATTCTCCATCCGTGTCTCCACTCAGAAATCCCCTCTTCCAGGAAGCCTCCCCTGACACCCCCACGCTGCACCGGAGCCCCGTGAGCGCAGGGCCAGGACTGTTCCCATAACCGCCATGTCCTCAGCACCGAGCAGGGCTAGGAAGGCGTGCTGAGTGATGACGCGCACGCGGGGCCAGGGCGCAAGGAGGAGGCCCACCTGGTCCGAGTCCTTGCGGCTGCTGTTGAACGGATCCGGGACGGCGAGCTGCGGGTAGAGGCCCCGGCCCAGCACCAGCTTGAGCAGGGCCATCTGGTCCTGCGTCAGGTCCTGGGCTGAGCTGGTGGCCGCCTGCAGCTGATCCAGGCTGTGCCGCAGCTGAAACTTCACGTCCTGGGGGGAAACGCAGGGCGGGGGGAGGAAGGTGGGTTCCTGGGGGGCCCAGCCCAGTACCCAAGGGGCTGGAGCTAGGACCTGTGGACCCCCGGGTGCTGCAGAGCGCGGGCACCAGGTCCTGTCCGCGAAGCGCCGCCCACCTGGATGTCCACGCCATCGCCAGGTCCCTGGTCTTCGTCGCTGGAGCCGCCGTCCAGGCCCCCCTGCAGCCGCAGCACCTTGCGCCGGCGCCCCCCGCCCGCCTCGTGCTGCCGCTTCAGGTGGTACAGCGCCCTGCGTTCCCGGCGCTGCTGCAGCCGATGGTAGCTGTCGCCTGACGTCGCGGCCTGCGCCCGGGCCAGCAGCCCATGGTCCTCCAACAGCTCCTGGGGGCGGGCGGGGCCCAGGTGAGAGACACAGGGCGGGCCAAGTCTGGGGGCTCCAGTCTGGGGCCCGCCACTCGCCGGCCCCTCTGTTTCGGAGGACACGGGACGTCGCATCTGTGTGACACAGAGGGGCCCCCCATTTCATTACCCTCTCGGGGTCTGCAGGCCAACACAAAGTGAAGCGAGGCTCTGGGAAGCCAGAGATGCCGAGAACAGTCTGAACACCTGTGGTCCCTGATGGGGGGGCTCCTAAAATTGCACTGTGGGCCGCGGTCGGGTGACCACCCCCTCTGGACCTCAGTGTGGCCATCCGCAATCACGGGCAGTGATGACACCAGGGACTCGCCCTGTTCTAGAGGCTCTTCGTGTATTAACTCATTCAACCCTCAGAGGACAGCGGGGAGACTGAGGCCTAGGGCCGTGCAGGAACTTGCCCAGGATCGCACTGCTAGTGAATGACAGAGCTGGGACTTGCCACTGGGACGTCCGCTCCGGATCTGGTGTGCCAGCCATCGCCCCCTGGTGCCTCCCAGAGCTCAGCACCCCTGCTCCAGACAGCCAGGTTCTTCGTGAGGATGTAGCATGTGACCGCTGACCCTGTCCACTTCTCCAGGAAGCCCTCCTGGATTTCCACCCCCTTTGATTCACCCAGGCCACCCCATGTCTGAGTGTCTGAGGGTTGCGGGAGGTGGGTGTAGGGTGGGACTCCGATTGCTCCATCAGAGAAGGAAAGGGGTGGTGTACCCGCACTCACCCCACCTCCCAGCCTCCTAGGTTTGGTCGCGAGCCTCACCTTGAACTGGCGCCGCAGGTTGGCCATCTCGTACAGCCGGTGCTCCTCTATACCCCGGTGGCGGCACCACTTGCGTGAGTTTCTCCTCCGTTCGGATTTCACCTGGGTGGAAAATCGGACACCAGGGGGTCAGGGCCTAGCTGGCTGGGGAAGGGTGCAGGGGCTGACCCAGCGCCTGGATGCCCCCAGCACGGGCCCAAACACCAGCCCCTGAAGAATTAGAGGCAGGGACACATGTGCTCTCCTCCTCCTTCCAGGTCTCAGCGCCACTGCCCCCTCCTACAGGAAGCCCTCGGACACCACACTGGGTCAGACATCCCCTCTGGGCTCTCCCAGCCCCCTGGACTGCCTATCACAGCCCATTCTGGGTGGTCACAGTCCGGGGACAGGTCTGCCTCCCTGCACGGGACTGTGCAACCCAGGAGGGCAGGGCCACATGCTTTTAGTCACCACCAGGTCTCCAGCACTGCCTGGCACAGGGCCAGGCCCAGAGCATGTGCTACCCTAGGAGGGTGTGGCCTTCCCCTGGGTGGCAGGGGTTTTATTCAGCGCTTTAAAAACCCCAGCCTTGGGGGTGCCTGGGTGGCTCAGTTGGTTAAGCGTCTGCCTTCGGCTCAGGTCATGATTCCAGGGTCCTGGGATCGAGCCCCACACCAGGCTCCTGGCTCAGCGGGGAGCCTGCTTCTCTCTCTCCCCACCCCCCCCACCCCCCCGCCGCTCATGCTCCCTCTGTATCTCTGTGTCTCAAATGAATAAATAAAATCTTTAAA